GGCGCCGCCTCCCCGCGCCACCCACTACAAAGCAGCGGCGGCGCCCGCGGCCGCTCCGGCTCCGCGGGCCGCGAGACACCGCGGAAGAGCCGGCCTGGAAACGCCCTGCCGCGGACGGGAGCCCCCCTGCTCCCGCTCCTCGGCCGAGCCCCTCGCGCCGCTGCGGGGCGCGCGTCCCGGCGCACTCCAGGCCCGGCGTACTCCAGGCCTGGCCTTCGCTTTCGCCGCGCCGCCGCTCATCAGCATGCGGAGCCTGCCTGGAGGATTACGCCAGGCGCGCGCCCCCCCACCCCCCCCACCCGCCGGAGGCCGGCCCATCCCCCCTCGCCGTTGCCAAGCAACGGCACAAAGGCAGAGGCGGGAGCCGGGAGCGGGAAGGGAGCGGGAATGGAGAGGGAAGGGAGCGCCGGCCGCCTGCCTCGCGCCCTGCCGCTCCCCGTCACGGGAAGAGAGGGAGCAGCCGGAGCCGCCGCGAAATCTCCACGGCTCGAGCAGTGCCACGTCCCAGCCGAGCGCGGCCAGAAGCGTTCCCCCGCGGCCCGGAGCATAAGCGCGCCCAGAGCGTTAATAGCTCAACAGATAAATAAAATAAAATAAAATAAAATAAAATGCGCCTCGCGTTTCGCTGCTCCTCGCTGTTAATAAGCTGCAGCAGCCCGTCTTGGCACGCGTTGCTCGCAAAGTTCGGCCTCACTGGGAACGGATACGGCCATTCCCAGGAAGCTGCAGTCAAGGGCCCGAGGCCCCGGGAAGGGGGTGGGCGGGAGCTCATTAATTTTGTTACCTGCTGTCAGTGAAGGGTCCAACCCAAATATCGGCGCCGTGGGGCACGGGAAGCTAGAGGTGGTGAGGGGCCTCCCGGGAGGAGAAGCGTTGGAGCGAGGAAGTGTCGCCGCTGCCAACTGCTTCAGCCGGTCGCATACACGAAAGGGAGAAAGCCAAGACGCCTTACACACGCGTGGGCGCGCGTGCCGGCGCGTTCGAGCGTGGCGAGCTGCGCGTGCGAACGGGCAAGCCCTGCGCTCCCTGCGCCGCTGGGCCAGCTCACCGGCCTGCGCTCTGCCGGCTCTTAAACACACAACACACACGGACAACCACACACGGCGCCTGCAGCAGGAGCCGCCGTCCCCGGCAGCGAGCAGCCTGGACGAGCTCCTCCAGCGGGCGTTTATTCACCCATTCCTGCTGTCCTCACTGCCAGTGACGGGGCTCCAAGCGTCATTTACCGTGCAGCACCCAAACTCAGCACCGAGTGCCCACGCATTAATTTCCTCATCAGTTTTTCTGTGACATTAATCCCCATTACGTGTGAACACTGGAAAAACAACACTTACAACAGTGTCTGCGACATCCTTGCAAGCTCATGGCTCCCAACCCTTTTGTTCCACACCCTCTTCCCACTGGTATTGTGCCGTTTAAGGCCCTCCCTGTTTACCCTGGACGCGGCACTGGGCTGATGTGCCTCTGGATCCAGAGCCAGCTCCGCTGGCACCCAGCACCCCATCACGCCGCGTAAACACGCGTGCCTCCTGCCGCCGAGTCTCCTTCCCTTCCCTTCCCTTCGCATCCCTCCTTCTCAACCCACCTCCCGCTACTGCCCGTGTCAGCAGGCGGACATCTCCGGGGGCTCCTCTTTGCCACTGCTACTGTTTCTGTTGGAAATGTGAAATGGAGGACTGGAAAAGTTACAGCTTTGCAAAAAAAAAAAAAAAAAAACCACCCACGGATTTTGGGCAGCAAGGTTTAAAAAGCAACCTTTCTGAATGCATGTTATTTACGGAGGCATTGTGTTAAAGAGAACACACTCTTGATGCCAAACACAGATGTAAGTACTAGCTGCTTTGCACGGCGTCATACCAAATTAAGCTCCTGTAAAATAATAAAAATGTATCGCTGCTGTTGAAGTAGGAATGTTCACAGCTGTCAGCGCTGTTTCAAACTGTTACCTTTTGCAATCCAGCCTCCTGAGCTCGCAAGGAGCGTGATCCTTAGAGGCTGAAGACTTAAGGAAGAAGCTGGATCTCTTCAGGATCCCTGTTTTCCAGATTTTAAACAACATATCCAAATCACTGAAGTAACCTTTTATGGTTTGGGGAATAGACTGCACAAAACCTATGGAAAAGGGTACAACTCCCGCCTCTCCATGCTCGTTCTAAACCGTCTGAGGGTCCTCAGCATCAGCAACGCGTCACGCTTCCCAGTCACCCCTATTTCATTTAACCAGAAACTAGAGTAGGAAGTGGTTTCATGTTGTCGTCTTCTATTGCTAAGTCAGTGCCCAAGTTCAAAAGTTTTAACTTTTAAAAAAAAGGTTTTGAATTTAAGTTGACACGTTTAGCATTATTTATTATTTACATAATATAACTGGCAGAGACCCCAGTACTGGATCTCAATCCTATTAGGTTTAGCACAATTTCTATGAGCCATCCAAAGGTGGCCTATTTCCTATAAAGCCTCAAATCTTAGCTTATGAAAAGTCACCAGAGGTTACTCAAAAAAGAGAAACAGGTGCAGGAATGGGGCAGCAATTTGTATTCATGCAATCCTGACTTTTGTGGGCTTGCTTGTAGAGGAAAAGCACCATCTCCATCACTCGTAAGGCTAATTCCCAAACCGCTCCCTTTCCAGCTCTGTCACGGGCACGCACACCTATTTACAAACAGAAGAACAATTCCGCAGGCTTTGGTGGGGGCTCCTGTTAAATGATCCCTCTAACAGCTAGACCTTGCTCTGAAAATGTCATGTAAACAGAACAGGATTTGGGAATTTAAACAAAACCAAAGCCACAAATGTTTCCCTTAACAGATACTGTCAGGTCTCTACCTCGTCACTGTTATCCCCCACACTCCGACGGAAAGCACATTACCGCGCAGCAGTCCCATGAAGACATCAGTTTATGCAGTCAGAGTCCTCCGGCATGGGAATACAAAGCGTTTGGATATTGCTGTTACATGGAAGCCATAACCTCATCTCTTCCACCGAGGCAAAGGGAGAGACACAAAGTCATACATGTGATGATGGCCAAAGGCAGATACCTGCCGTGACCCGAGCATGCCGGGCRCCCACACCGCTCCTACACCTCGTGCCGTCAGTGACAAACCCTCCTGATTTGGGAAAGACACCGGGCTGAGGCGGCGCTGTGGGGCAATGCGCCCGCTCCGCCTTGGGGCTTTCCAGCACCTTCTCCAGCGCCAGGGCGCGAGGACGCCTCGCTGGCAGGAGCGCCGCGCCGGGAAACTCTTCCCACGCTGGGGGCTCCTGGCTCCAACGGGCTTGTCGCCTCAGGGAGGGCAGCACAGCCCCTCTCCCTCCTTGCATGAAATGAAATGAAATGAAATGAAATGAAATGAAATGAGAAAAAATAAAATAAAATAAAATAAAATAAAATAAAATAAAATAAAATAAAATAAAATAAAATAAAATAAAATAAAATAAAATAAAATAAAATAAAAAAATGAGCTGGGGGGAGAAATGCACATGGGACTTGGAAAGCAAAGCAACTTCATTTCAAAAGGACCGTCCTGACTGCTAAGCAGCTCCCACATTGTTTGCAAGACCCCAGCATTTTAAAGGAAGGGAAGCTGCAGCCAGGTGTGCAAATACAAGCCCAGCGTCACCCGCATCTTGTGCACATCCATGCCCTCTTCCCGTGCAGCTCCCTGGAATGCAGCACACCCGGAATTTAGCAGACGCAGAGGTGGCGCAGGGCCGCAGGGCCCCCCGCACGGCCCCGTCCCGCCCGCCCCCGGGCCCAGGGCGCCCCACGCGGGTCCGTGGGCGCGGGACGCCCCGCGCCGCGCTCCGGGCGCGCCGCCGCTGGCGCCGGGACACGGGTGCCCTCTAACGGGGGGTGCCCGGCGGAGCAGCTCCCGCCGACCCGTCCTACCTGCGCCGGGGGCCGCGCTTCGAGGCGGGCGGAGCGCTCCGGAGGAGCAAAATGGAGCTTTCCCTTCGCCCACGGAGATGCCGGAACTACAGCTCCCAGCAGGCAGCGGCGGCTCGGGCCCTGCCCGTGCCCGGGCCCGGGGCGCTGGGCTGGGGGGCGGCTGTGGGGCGGGCCGTGGGGCGGTGGCACGTGGGGGGCGCGGGGGCGCCGGGCTGGGGGGCAGCTGTGGGGCGGCTGCAGGCGGGGGCTGCAGGAGCAGGACCCGCGGGGGCGCTGGGCTGGGGGGCAGGGGCGGCTGCCAGGACGGGGTTGCTGGGGCCATGGGGTGCGGAGCTCCTGGCTGAGGTGCCGGTGGGGCCGGTGGGGCCGGCCGGGCTGTGGGGCCCACGGCCGCGGTCTCTGAGGCCAGGACGGGTGGCAGGGGAGCTGCGAGGCGCAGGCACCCGGACAAGTCGCCCRGACGCCCCACACGAGCAGTGCCGGCCAGCGCAGCGGAGCAGCCCTGCCCGCTCCTGGTTCCYGGGCACTGCACTTTCCACTTTCGGTGCCCTCAGGTGCTTTCCTGGTGCTCTAACCGGGAGCTTGGTGCCCCACCATAACCAGTTACCCTGACAAAGAACTTCTTTGTGGTTTCCTCTCTCCACTGACTACATCGTATTGCTCAACATATCAGTATCGAAGCCTATTGGCAGGCCCCAAATCCCCTCTTCTCCGCAGGCAGGCACCCCTTTGGCCCCACAGCCCGTGCTGCTCAAGAGAAGCGTCACAGACTATCCACATCAGTGACCCTTTTTTCCATTGCCAGGCCCTGAGGAGTATTGGCTGCCCGACATATCCCTAGGCGAAAGCATCCAGACCTACGGATCCCCCTCCATCTGTAGCAATACCTCAATACCTCTCAATACCTCAGCAATACCTCTCCATCTCCAGACTATATTGATATGAGTGGGTTCCACGGTCCCTCCAGCACCGTTGTGCACCTGGACTCTGTGAGTAGGAGGTGTGGAAGAAGGACACGGTGGCTGGTCTCCCATTTTGGCTGCAGTCTTTAGAGGGTRGGATGAGTGTCACCCTGCAACTGCAGACTCTGCAAGAGACTGAACGGGCGGCTTCGTGGCAGTCGTGGGCAAGGGAGCGCCTGTAGCTAGGACATCGACTAAAAGATTATTATCCAGATCTGGTCCATGTTCTTTAACAATCTCACAGTTATTACTGAGATCTGGTCCATATTATCTAACAATCCCTTTGATACCTATGCTGTGTTTACTCTTGTTTTTTCTCTTCCCATGCTCTTTTGTTTTTTGGGGATGCGTATTGCATCTTTTGTCTTCCTTTCCTGAACTTACTCCATTTCATGTGTTATTCACAATCAGCAGTGAAATGCCAGTGTTGATTTTTTAAAGCATTTGCTTTCCGCTTTAAGGTCAACCTCCATGCACAGCTGAGAGGATTTAGGACTTAGGATCCACCTCAGTCTTCATTTATTTTCCTTGCTTATCCTGAGAGACAAGATTGTGTGGCTTGGGTGAGGGCAAGTTTTGCAGGACCTGAGTGTGCCCACATGCACGGATGGGCTACTGGTGTGAATAGATGGCAAAATGTTTTCATCATTTATTCTCTGTCATGCCTTGTGTTGGATTTCTCAAAGTAGCACCTCCCTTCCCTACACCTTCATTGGAGTCCCTTCAGAATAGTTGTTTATCAGGCAGTGAAATTTGCTTCTACCCAGCCTGCTGCAAAAATAGATGGAGTGATGGATATTTTGCCCAAGTACTGCTGTATTGTCCCCTGTGTACTAAGATGGCTTTGAAAGAGGCTGATAGCCCAGTTATGTCTCCATTCATTAGTCTACATGTCCTCTCCTTTGCAGGGGCAGCTTCTTCTCTTTAAATATTTGCAGTTCCAGTATTAAAAACATTTAAATAAATGTCAGTTGTGCAGCTGTCTGAG